ACGTTGGGACGACATCGGAAAATCGACAAATATATTCATACGTTGGGCCAACGTGAAATTCCAATGTTGGTTTGACGTTACTTCTCCGACCAAATTTTGCAACCAAACACCAACGTCGTACCAACGTCAGATATCCGACCCCGACGCTTACCGACGCTTGCCAACGTTTACCAACGTTGGGCCAACGTCGCTTTGCTAGCTGGGATTGGTGCTGGTGATATTCCAGTGTGTCTTGTGCAATCAACTGCGTAGTTCTTTATCTCACATTACTCTATTTGAGCTACCTGCAAAACCAAACTATAACCTTATGTTTTGTGCAATTATGTTATACTACCGGTATCGTTGTAAACTAAAGCAGATGGACCCGCCCACCGCATCTAGTAAGCAGAATTTAACTAGTAATGTAGAATGTATACTACTCTTGTATACTGAATTCAGTGAGCTGAGTGGGCTTTTGTCAGATTTTACGCGAAGAGTACCAGTAAAATATAGATAAGACTGCATCTTGGATGCTATTTCTTTGTGGGATCTACAAATGATGAACGAATCTTATAGACTATTGCAGACGGTTTAGTTTGCAATCACTTTGACGTTATACTGGTAAGTAAAGCGTAAAGGTCATATCTCATTTTCTAATTTCTTTTTGAATACCAAAAAACAGGCTAATATCCACTGATAGAAACACAATAGTGGTAGAAGGACAAATTTATTTTCATTTTTATCAAACGAATAACTAACACTGCCAATAATTGAACTTAAACAAAATAAATATAGCATTTAAACATTTTTCAAATTTATGATGGATAGGCCTATTTTAAACTGAATAATGAAGTGTATTCCGCGACTAGCTAGTTACACCTGTTGTAAATTCTTATGGCTGGAATTATGAGCAAGCTGTTTCTTAAAGATCTTGTATTGTGATTGTGTGTTGGTCTAGCCTAGTTGAGGTAAGTTGGAGCAATTATTATAATTTCGACGTGTTTTTTTCTTTCCTGTGCTGGGCGTATTTTCAATTCGAGTGGTAACCAATTAGGTTGAGCAAATTAAACTCCTTTGTGTCTGCACGACCATAGGCCCTTGCTGTGGTCCAAGGTTCTAAACATATAACCTGGTTTTGTTATGTCTATCTTCGAATATAAGTCTGATTCATCGGGCTTCGGGAGCATTCACTGCCTCGCCAGTTGGATTTCTATTCATTTCTGTCACTGAATTTACATACGATTTTTTTTATGATGTTATTGAAATTATTCGATATAATGAGTACTGTAGTCAGATAGAAGTGTTGGTCTATACACAATCAGTGCATAGTACTAAGAATTATGCTCTTAACCAAAAGGAAAATTTAGTCTTTTTTGAACACAACTTCTCTCCACATGAATTTTGAATATTACTGTGGTTGATGAATGAATGAATAAATATTGGTTTTTTTTTATTCAACATTTCACCCAGAGGTACCTCACAAGGCAATCTTAAGCCTTAGTAACGAGGTAATAAATATTGTTATAAAGTAGGCCTATATTGATAAAATTTGAAGTATATATAATATGAATTATTGAAATTTTCGATATCTCAACAATATTGCAGGTATTTTTTTGTCTTTGTGGCTATACCAAAAAAAAAATAAATATTGTTCAGTGATTTGCAGGACACAAGATGGACGTAGGTTACGCAGCGCTGAAACCAAGCCGGTTCAGGAGTGCAAACATCTTCTCAAAAGTATTTTTTTAGTAAGTGTGTGTTGACATATTTTGAATTTTTAATGGTTTTTTTTTTGTATTATAAAGTGTAAATCCTTCTTGTAGGAGGATAACCAAGTGTACTTTTTGTTTTTGATGATTCAGATAGGATCACGGTTTACATTCCACTTTTTTTTAACTTAATTTAAACTTCATGCAATTTAATTTTAACATTTCATTATATTAATTTTTTTTTATTTTCTTTCATTTAATTGTCTTTTATTGCATGTGGCCTATTCAGTACAGACTACTGTTTCCCATAGGGTCCACCGTTATATGCCAAGTACATACAAAGTTATATACAGGATAAATGTTGTTTCCCAACAGCTGGGCTTGGTATATGTTTAGACTGGGGAATACTGGATCTATTACACCAGAAGAGTTCGAAAACGTTCCACCTGATTTAACGTCCGAATACCTAGTTGACAGTTTAGAAAGGTCAGTGCGCCTCGGCGTGTTTAGACACGATCATGGGGGGAATTTTGTGCATACTTAATTAATTCTTAAAAATAAAGTTTACAATAACATTGTAGTATGAAAGTATATTAACGTACCATATCACTCCCGTCAATCTAACTACTGAGGATGGGCGTATAAGCTATTACTTTCGTATCTACAACCAAGTAAAACCAAAACAAAAAAATAAGTGCGGGTGAGATGTCGGGCGTCGCTGAAATTTTAAAAAGAACTTATTTAATCGATTTTAGAATCTACGAATATGTAGAAAATATGGTCTACATATTATTTTTTTTCTCCCGACAAATTCTGGTTTTTCTCCCGGATTGGGGGATGGCAGCTCTTCCTGACGGGGCCCCTTTCTATTTATATATAGTAAGGCCTAAGTACGTAATTACATTTATGCTTTAAGAATTACATTTGCCTAAGTACGTAATTACTACATTTATGCTTTAAGAATTACATTGCCTAAGTACGTAATTACTGCATTTATGCTTTAAGAATTACATTTGCCTAAGTACGTAATTACATTTATGCTTTAAGAATTACATTTGCCTAAGTACGTAATTACTACATTTATACTTTAAGAATTACATTGCCTAAGTACGTAATTACTACATTTATGCTTTAAGAATTACATTGCCTAAGTACCGGTACGTAATTACTACATTTATGCTTTAAGAATTACATTTGCCTAAGTACGTAATTACTGCATTTATGCTTTAAGAATTACATTTGCCTAAGTACGTAATTACTACATTTATGCTTTAAGAATTACATTTGCCTAAGTACGTAATTACTACATTTATGCTTTACTACATTTATGCTTTAAGAATTACATTGCCTAAGTACCGGTACGTAATTACTACATTTATGCTTTAAGAATTACATTTGCCTAAGTACGTAATTACTGCATTTATGCTTTAAGAATTACATTTGCCTAAGTACGTAATTACTACATTTATGCTTTAAGAATTACATTTGCCTAAGTACGTAAATACTACATTTATGCTTTAAGAATTACATTGCCTAAGTACGTAATTACTACATTTATGCTTTAAGAATTACATTGCCTAAGTACGTAATTACTACATTTATGCTTTAAAAATTACATTGCCTAAGTACGTAATTACTACATTTATGCTTTAAGAATTACATTTGCCTAAGTACGTAATTACTACATTTATGCTTTAAGAATTAACATTGCCTAAGTACGTAATTACTACATTTATGCTTACATTTTCGTACTATTATGTCAGTAAAACAGCTATTACTAATCACGTGTCATAATATACACAATAAATCAATCAATCACTTTAATAAAAAATAATAATAATTTACATTTATATAGCACATATTGTGCTGTGCCTCTATACGCTTTACATCAAGTTATTAAAACATAAAGCATGACGACTTAATAATATAATAGGGTGTTTAAGCTCTGTAGTACTAAGCCATTTCGTAGTGTGAACTGCTCATGCCCATAACAAGGTCAACCTACAAACAAACATACACCACATAGGCTTATTTCGATTGACCTTGGAGACGGGTATGCGCAGTTCAGAACACAAATGGGCTTATTACAATTAAACACAAAATACTTCAGTTGAACCGATATTTTTAATATCATAAGCAAACATGCTACATAAGCAACAAACATGCTACAGCTATTCGCATTACAACTGGCTGCATCACAGTGGTGTTACGACGGGGCCAGGAAGCATATTTTAACGTAGGATAGTTTGGTTAAATCTCATAATTATTCATAATCATCCTTATAGAACATATTTTGCGCATGTGCTATTGTCAAGCCTCAACGATTAGCTGCTCCGTGCATCGTGTGAGGGACCTACTGTTCGATTAGAACAATTGAAATAAGATTTTGAGCAAACTGAGCGCATAAAATTTCATTAAAAAGTGGCTCTTAAAAATTTTAGATATTACAGTCAATATTAGATGGTCATATAGGCCTTATTCAAAAAAAGTGTCCAGTGAGCACAATGGTCTTTAATATGATTATACCTTATAGGCCTACATTATTTTACTTTTGGTGTTGGGCTTCAAGCTATTCTTATATGTCACTCTCTGTACTCGATGCCATGATCTCAAGTACGGTAAGTGTTGAACTTCGGTGAATGGAATAACCAGTGTTTTTTTAGTTAAATTATGGATGATGCTTTTACTGCCGTTTCTGGTAAGTTATTATTTGCATTATGCAAGTATTATAATATAATTGTGTAACATTCTTCATTCAGTCTGTTACCGGTATATCACATTAAAATATTTGGTTGATACAATTACTCTTAATAAGGCCAAATAAAGTAAATTGTTTGCCCTTCTTTTTTAAAATGATAAATAGGGGCGGGTGGAAAAGGGTTTTTTTTGTATTTATTTTTGTTAAATAGGCCTATTCATCAGAAGGAATAAAAATAACCCACAGCGGCCTAGAATGGCAATATCTTACATCAGACAACAACTTTAGACTAATTTGTAGGGCATCTGGCAAAAAATAAAGATAAATTCACTCACATTTTTTTTAATTTGTAAAGAAAAAAGCTATAAAAAAACAAACTTTTTTAACTCATTGTTTTTCCGCCCGAATGTTTTTTCAGTGAGTTAGGGACGAGTGAAGGAGGGCAAACAAATAATTTTTTTTGGCCTAATAATAGACACTCATATTTTGACGAACTGAGCGGATACAATTGATTAAAAAGCGGCTCTAATAATTTTAGATATAGTCAAACTTAGATGGGCAGGCCTAATTCAACAAAGGGTCCAGTGAGCACAATGGTCTTTTTTTTTTATTAGTACTTTACATTAGTTGCAGAATTATGCAAGTTTAATCACGTAACGTTAGAGCGTATTAGTATCCTATTATTATCTTATGTTAGATATGAATTTAAAAAATGATTTGTTTTTAGGCCTATGATATTGCATGACGGATGATCATCTATGATGGATGAATCATTCGCGTAAAACCTCGTCTAGGCCTATCATAAATCAGTGCCAGTAGGCCACTATGTTTGCATAATTTGCGAAATCCTAGCTTCGCAGCATAGAGCGAAGTTCTTAGCTTACATAATGGAGTTTCAATCAACTTTACCGGTACTTGAACAATTATTTAGTATTGTAGCCTATTGTATTTGCAGACTGACAGTAAATTATCGCTTCAATGTATCAAATCAATCACCTGTTTTATTTTTGCATTGATTCAAATACGAGATCCATACAAAGGTTTTATTAAACTTTACTTGAACAATTATTTAATGTTGTATTGTATTTGCAGACTGATAGTAAATTATCTCTTCAATGTATCAAATAAATCACCTGTTTTATTTTTGCATTGATTCAAATACGAGATCCATACAAAGGCTGAATCCCGAGACCATAAAAGTGAATGGCGTGTCGTTCTATGAAAATCAACATAACTAGTAGTCCAGCAAACTTTGGTTGGTTGCATTTTTTTTGCTATATTTAAAAAAAAATTGGATATGATGCAGAGTAGACATAGATAAATCAACCCCCCTTTCATACGTAAGGGGGGTTGCCAGCCGTTTCAAAATGGCCGCCATTTTTTCCTAAAATTGTCACTAATATTGTAAATTTATGTCATTAAAATGCAGTATTCAATTGGAAATCCACTCATAAAAATGACAGCAACAGTTAACTAAATATTGTACACATTTTTGAGCTATTACAATTTAAAATGGCTGCCATTTTCCATTATTTTAGCTTTTTAGCATACATACTAATATAATAATAACCGACCTGTACTGTAA